AACTTTTGTAGTCTAAAAAAGCGGACACTACACANCTTTTTCAAATGAAAAAGCAGACACTACAAANCTTTTCCAATAAAAAAGCGGACACTACAAACTTTTGTAGTCTAAAAAGCGGACACTACAAACTTTTCTGATGACAAAAGCAGACACTACAAATTTTTGTAGTCTAAAAAAGTGCCTTTTCTAAAGGCTCTCATGCTCTCTTTTGCATATGATTCCCCAAACTAGACATGGAATAGAGTCCCTGCAATGTATCTGTATATTCCCCAGCCATTTCCCCATCAAATATGTGCCATGTATGGGATGGATGGGCTAGGTTGACTTTGGATAACCTTTTAGCCCTAACCCTAACTTTGTAGTCTAAGTCCGACTTTTGTAGTCTTTTGTAGTGTATCAGTAAAATTTGTAGTCTATGTCTGACTTTTGTAGTCTTATGTAGTGTATCAGTAAACTTTGTAGTTGAGTCCGACTTTTTTGTAGTCTATCAGTAAACTTGGTAGTCTATATCTGACCATTCCTTTTCTAGGGCATGCACCTTCCTTTTTTGGTCATTTTCCCCATGATACAATAGTTGTAGCCCTTTCTTTTAGCTTTCTAAATATACTGAAATCATATTGTTTGGTTTTGTTTTCATGGAGAAAAATGCAAAAAACAAAAAAAAACACGACACTTTTGGGATTCCTTTTCCTCATATCTCCACAACAGGAGCACTTCAGAACATAATTTGAACAGATTCAGGAAGCTACAGTGTAGGGCTACAACTTTTGTTTTTGACCATTTTTGGTAATTGGTCATGTGACCATCATCCCAACATCCCATTACATGGACCCTGATAGGTAAAATCATTCTCTGCTTGGTTTTCTTCACTTTTTGGTCAAACCAGGTGATATTTCCCTTTTGGGATGGAACCTGAAGTGGACCCTGAAGGCAGTGCCTGATGTTCTGTACACCATTTTTATATATATTCACTTTTTCTGCTATTTTTGGATATATTACCATATTTGGAACTGGACCCTGGACCCTGACAATGTTACCCAACATGATGATCAGCATTTGAGCCCTAATTTTTCCTGATTTTATTGCCATTTTACATTTGGAAATGCACCCTGGACCCTGAAAGGTCAGCTGCCACTAAAAATGAAATATTCATTGAAAGCGCCAGGTACACATATGAAAAGTGCAATGAAATCTCCTAGGAATAAGAATGAAATATCCATTGAAAGCACCAGGCATCCAAATGAGAAGCACAATGAGATATCCTGGGTTTAGCAATGAAATATCCAATGAAAGCACCAGGTATATCTATGAAAAGTGCAATGAAATATCCTAGGAACAAGAATGAAATATCCATTGAAATCGCCAGGCATTCAGATGAAAATCACAATGAAATATCCTGGGGCTAACAATGAAATATCCAATGAAAGCGCCAGATATATATATGAAAACTCCAATGAAATGTCCTGGAGCTAAGAATGAAATATATATTGAAAGCGCCAGGCTTTCATATGAAAAGCAAAATGAGATATCCAGAGATAATGAATGAAATATTGCAGGAAATCGCAATACAATATTAATGAGATCACTTAGGCCATTTAATGAAAAAACCAAATGAAATACACAGGGAACTTAATGAATGAAAATACTAGACAACATAATGAGTTGTCTCATTGAACCTCTAGGCATTATACACATCGCCTTCCAGGCATGTGTCTGGTTTTTATCATAAGAGTGTATACCACTAGTGGTGCGCTTTCATTGAATATTTCATTATCAATTCTGGGTGCTTTCATTGTGCATTTCAATAAATATTTCATTAGCTAGGTTATATGTATTCATTGCTTCTTTCATAATTAATGATGTGCACTTTCATTGAACATTCCACAGCTTTCATTGGGATTTTTCATTGAGTATCTCAATATTTCATTCCAATTTCATATCTGCCTCCAGGGCTATCATTACGATTTTTCATTATATTCCATGATAGCAATAAAATAGCTATTATGGTCCATCCAATGGGTCATTGGGAGGGTGGTCACATGACCAATTTCCAAAAATGGTAAAAAAAACAAAGTTGTAGCTCTTTACCATAGCTTCCTGAATCAGTTGGAATTATTTCCTAAAGTGCTTCCATTGTGGAGATATGAGATAAAAGGTTTTCAAAAGCGCTGCGTTTTTTTTTTTTTTTTTGCAATTTTCTACATGAAAAGAACACTAAACAACATGATTTCAACAGATTTAGAAAGCTAAGAGAAGGGGCTACAACTATTGTATCGTGGGAAATTTATCCCAAAAAGGAAGGTACATGCCCTAAAAGGGTAATTGACACTGACAGACTACAAAAGATTGCTGATATACTACAAAAGTAAGTTATAGCCTACAAAGTTTACTAATAGACTACCAAAAAGACTACAAAAGTTGGACATAGACTACAAAAGTTGGACATAGACCACAAAGGTCAGACAAAGACTACAAAAATTAGTAGTGTCTGCTTTTTGAGACTACAAAAGTTAGTAGTGTCTGTTTTTTCAGACTACAATGGTTTGTAGTGTCCGCTTTTTTCATTACAAAAGTTAATAGTGTCCGCTTTTTGAGACTACAATGGTTTGTAGTGTCCGCTTTTTTCATTACAAAAGTTAATTGTACCTGCTTTTTCAGACTACAATGGTTTGTAGTATCCGCTTTTTTCATTACAAAAGTTAATTGTATCTGCCTTTTCAGACTACAATGGTTTGTAGTGTGTCCGCTTTTTTCATTACAAAAGTTAATTGTGTCCACTTTTCTGACATATAGTATGTAGTGTGGTTAACTATGTATATATAGGTCATTGGGGATATGATTGAAGGATTGGGATGAGTTGACATTCTGCCACTTATGAATAGTTGCTTTTGATGTCAGGTCCATGGCTGTTTTTCATACTTGCAATCTGTCATGTCTTTTCACATGAGAAGTCACTATCCTATCTAATCAAAGGGTGTGTGTCACATGAATCCTGGATAGACATTGAAAAACAGACAGGACCAACCACCTATTTAATTCATTTTTGGTACCTTTAAATCAATCTACTCAAGGCTGACCCCAGTGGTGAAGGCTTGGACAATGACAACTGGTCTTGGTATTGAAAGACATGACAAGTTGCATAGGTAGGACAGAGAATTTATCCCTCCAAAAAAATCATGTGAAGATTGACTGTGGTCAGACATAGGAGAGCAGATACTGATCTGAGTGGAAGGTTGACCAACATCAAAGATAGGATAGTGGCTTCCCATGTGAAAAGACAAGACAGATTGCAAGTATGGAAAACAGCCATGGACCTGACATCAAAAGCAACTATTCATAAAATGGTAGAATGTGAACATCATCCAAATCCTTCAATAATATCCCCAATGACCCTATATATTCCATAAGTTAACCACACTTACATACCTATATGTTCGAAAAAAGTGGCCCACAATTTAACTTTTTTGTAATTGAAAAAAGACGGGATACCCCCTAACCCACCAATTTTTTTCTCCGTGAAAAGGACCGACAACTAATATCTCTTTTTTTAAAACCCAAAAAAAGCCTGTTTGCATAAC